AATCCTTCAGCATGATGTATGCAGCAGAGACGTCAGTCTGTGGTTTTTCGTGTCCATGGATTCAATTAGGTTGTTTTTTGCAGATCAGCATTGGAGAGGTTAAAGAATTTGTCAGACGCTGAGCAAAAGCATTGTCCAGACTCCCCCAGGTCAGACAAGCAGCTCGTCTGTATTTAACCTGCTTTTAATTTGGCCCCCCTATTTATTATTTGTTTGTCAGTGTGTCTAGAAATACATTACAGCTGTTGCAAAATTGTCCTTCATCTGCAAAGTTGCTCAAGACTAATTTCTTTCTGTTTAGTATAAAAAACACAAACCGATAAATAGCAATTGTCTAAATTTCTTAATATTCCAAATTAATATTTCATTGGATGTCAGTTATTGTCAGAATTAGAATAGTTGAGATATGATGTAGCACATGTGTCTATACTATTTATGCAGCAACTGATTTTTTTTTCACGTGGTTTGTTAATATTACGAAATATCTATTATTTATTTTGTCATGGGCCACAAGTAATGGACTGTAAAATAATTTCATAGTTAGAATACTTCAAGAAATACTCTCATTAAATTACACTTTACAGTCTAATGATGTGTTTTACTGATTATTTCAAAACTGTCAGGTAATTATTTTGTTTGTGCATTACCAATTTAAATATTCCCATAAGCCTGTGGTTAAAAGCTAAGCAGTCCTCATATTTGCATGTCTTCCAAGGATAATTAAAAAGGAATTTGGCAGAAGAGTGGGTGAAGAGTGGCAAAGACTCGGACAGCAAGAAATGTCATGTAGTGGTTCAGAATTTGAATATGGTCGACACTATTTATTATGTGTTGTAAATCATCTCCAGTTTTGCTTAGCCATGTAAAGCATTATTTCAGGAGTCACAAGTTAGATATTTATTACAAAAAGAAATCATCACAATTTTCCTGCTGCTATTTCAACCCTTTCTTATGTAAAACAACATTTAGAAATGGCTTGGCATTTTCCAAATTTAGCATATTTGTTTTGCAGACTGTGTGGGTCTGCTACATTTCTTCATTATTAGAGGTGTTGTTAATTTCATTTTTTTGCTTTAGTTGTTTTTTTAAATATTGCATAGAATTTGTTCAATAAATGAATATTAGAATATTAAATTAAAATCAGTATAAGTGAATATAGTGAATGTTTTAAAATATGTTTCATTGTACTCAGAAGCTGAGAACCTGTTATTTTCACATAAGCAGTCTTTTGCCACCCATTTACCCTTTATGTCATTAGTTATTAAAATGTTGTTGTATTGCAGTTTTTCCTTTATTCCTTTTTTCAAAATGTGCAATTAAGAAGCGCGACTTTCAAAAGTAGTACAATTTGGTGAAAAGTTGAGATTTTAATTATTTCACACATTGTGTTTGACTTTTAAGCCAACTACTTTCCAAGAAATACTTACACGCTTTCTTTCTGACCCTGATACTATTTATGGATATCAAACCTAAGGCACGCGTTAGAAAGAACAGATATCAAGCAGCATGTCACTTTTGAAGCTAGTTGTATAATCTATTAAGCTAGAAACAGTGAGACACTTCTAAGTGACTTCAGGATTGCTTCCTAAGCCCAAAGCAAATTATATATACAGTCTATCAATATGTGTATAATAAACAAGTCAATTAAATATTTCATGTTTATTTAAAAACTATACGCTTCTTTAAACCCTGATTGGCTATGAAAATTACATTTGTAAGTTTAGATTTCAGTCAGATTATAATAGTTTGAGATAATGGCCTCACAGTCTGTATTGCTACCTTATTATTATTTTCTAATGTTCCTCTGATTTTGAAGTCAGCAGATGACAAATATAAAGATAGACCAATACAGAGCAATCTTACTCAAATTTCAAAGGACACATAAGAAAGTTCCAAAAGCTCCAATGTAATGTATCACCACACATGTACAGCTGTTTAATTAATGCACCTATATTTATCTTTCAAATGGTGACGTTTTTAAACCTGTAAAGATCATCTAGTAGTCATTGCAGGGGTGTTTCCTTGAGGCTGCTATATATCTGAATAATATAACTATAGCAATAAATTATTATAATAGATTTTATTAAGAAAATTAATATTAAAGAAAAATAACTAACTACAAACATGTAAAAATGCTTTTATTAGTTGGTTTTATATTGTTTGATCCGGGGAAATAAATTATTTAATTATTTATAAATACATAAGAGTGTTTGCAAATGTGAGGGGGCCCTTTGGCACATCTGTCTAATTTGTTGTTTGTTTTGTAGCTACTTGATTTACGAATAACTTTTAACTTGAACAATAACAAACATTAACCTGCTGCATAAAAGGTAAAGGTTTTGGGGGCCCAAACATTTCGTACAAGGCAGTGGAGATCCCTAACAACTGTGTGTTTATATATTCTGTCTCTGCTTGTATAAAAGGTATCTCTCAATAGACTGGCCTGGAAATAAACTTTCCTCTTTATTAAGTAAAGCTGTGGCTTAGCCAAAGAGGAAGGGTCCTATCTTTAAATGATGGATAGCCATCGTTCATCTCTGTCTAGAGAAGTGACCAACAGATTTAGAACACTGTATTAACCATTCTTTTTTCAGGTCTTGAAGCATGTTTAGATAGACTGTGAGAGGAAGTGTTTGATAATTCAGACTAAAGATTATATTAGGTTGCATTAATCTAACACGAGGAAATGTTTCAGCACATACAATGCCAGGAGCTAACAGATCAATTATAAATCAAACATTATTAGCAGCATTCTTTCCTCATTGATTGAACATTTTACAGCATCTACAGTTTTACATGAAACTGTAGCTTTAGCCAGAACAGGCTGAAACTCAAGCTAGAACTAGTAAAGTCTATTAGTATTTTGTAACATTAAATATCCACTATTAAGTTTCATTAACATCAATTTGAAGTTATTTTAAACAAAATTGAAATTTATAGAAAAGGGGTGGAAAGTCAAACACAGCAGATTAATTCATGATGCACTGATGGGTTGTTAAGTCATCACTCGTATATCTGCGTTTCAGAATAGTGGAACAGTAGCCATGGTAAATTAATTTGACTTCTTTATTTCATTTAAAACGCTGCAACATTCTTGTATTACTTATTATAGCAGTGGAATAAATTCACATTTTTATGTGAATGTATAATGTTTGTGTTTTTGTTGGATTGCAAACATCTGTTATGTTTATGTTCTGAAAATGCTGGTGTTGGATATTTCTTTTGAAGTGTGCCGATTTGAGTCAATCAATGGTACTTTCAGACAGTGGTTTGCCATTCACCTAAGAGTACCACATACTTTCTTAAAAATACTACTGAATATATTTTAAGTCATGGCAATGTTGTTGTACCAGGCAGTATACCATCTAATCTTAGCTTCAAGACTAGAAGATTACAGAAATGTAATGTTACTCTTTTTTTGTATTTTAAAATATGAATATTTTGTTTGTTTTCCTATATCTGTTTTTGGGAGAACTGCTGTTTATAGCAGTCATAAATGAAAAATCATTTATGTGAACTAGAGTATACATGACAAATGATTTAATCTATATTTGACTTTAATCAGTGATTACTGAAAGTTGTTCATCTCTTTACTATCCTTAATATAAGGGTATTAAACATGTTTACCAGCATGCTTGCTAAAGCAATAATTCACTAATAGTCCACTTCTTTCTTCACAAAAACTTTTAACCTGTGCTCAGAAGTTTCACTTAGTTTTATGCAGTATGAGAAGTATGTTGTTAATAGTTGTAAACAGATGTTAAAAAAACTGATTTAATTTTTAATTGAAATTCTGATAATCCATTATGAATATCAGTAATAGGTCATGTGTTTCAACTGTGTTCTAAGATGATCTGAAAGTGAGAATAAAGATAACACATTTCTTTTAGCCTTATGTAAAACCTTTTCTGTGATAGAATAGGAAGTGGTTTTGTGAAACCCTTTAGTTATCTGTACATATAGTATGAATCATATAGTGGCTTTCCCGGATCTTGCACTTTACCAGGTATAGACTGGAACTGATGCTTTTGAAAGCTCTGTGCTACACACAATGTCCTGTTATTTATTTCATCTAAAATAAAATGTGTGCATGGGCCACAGAAGACACCTTTCTGGTATTGTCTCTTAAAAAGGAGTTGTAATGCTGTTTTATATAGTATGCAGGTAGTATTGTTTTTAACAAAAAACTCATGGGGAATTAAAGACACAAATGTCCCAGGAAAGTGTTTAAAATAGTATCATTAAAGATTAATAATATATCCATTTATCTTCCGTAACCATTTAGCCCAAAACAGGGTTGGACATAAGAAAATAAATTACACAGATAGTTCCACAGATCAGAACCCAAGACGTCTGAGGCAGCAGTGCTAACTGCTGTGCTACTGCACTTCTCAAATAAAACATAAAACATTCAAAGTTATTTGTCTGGATGTGAAACAAAGTCTTTCATTGAAATGTCAAAATGTAAAATTATTTAAAATGCCTTATTCCTAAATAGTTTAAAAACAGAAATGTATGTTTCTTGTAGACAGACGTAAATACCATATGTAAAACATGTTTTAATCTGTACTGCACTATAAGAAATAGTAAGGCCAGCTAGACTCTGTATCTGGTCTATGTGAATGGTATATTAATAAGTATGTGCTTTACAGATATAATCACTGTGAAATTTGTCTCATATATACGGGATTTAGTCTAGTGACTTGGTGGTGCTAGGATTGATGATCTTCATACTATAACATTACACTTGTTATTGAAGACCTCTTTCATTTTACTGCTTGCTTTTTTCAGTCAGACCAAATATATGTTTTATCCAGTGTTTTTTTTAACTTGTCACTTGTCTGCTGTGCTTGTCTACATTGTCATATGATCTGTCAATACATGCACACACATATGATTCATCAATCCCTAAAGACTGTGGTAAAGTGTGAGAATGTGTGCGAAAAATCCTATCGTTCAACCTTGTCACTAACTTCCCTTTATGTGTGTCTCTCATCTAGATGACCAGAAGAAGTATCAAGTGGTGATTCATGGGATTGAGCCAATGTTGGAGACTCCAGTCCAATGGCTAAGTGAACATCTGAGCTACCCAGACAATTTCCTTCACATCAGTGTCATTCCCACACCCACCGACTGAATCTTAACTTGGTTTCTGTCTTTTGTTTTCACTGAAAAATTGAATACCATAAGACTGAATCAAACAGCAGTCTTATAGCCCCCTCCAGATGGAACGCTTCACGAGAGCTGTCTCATCTCACCTTTTTTCTAGTTTTCGGAAGCAACCTGACCAGAAAAACCTCACTGCTGTAAGCCAAACAGGAAATGTGAGATCCCATCACCTGATAAGCCAAGTGGTGCTGGTGCTGATTTATGTTACCGCTGCCTTTCTCTGTTGTCGTCATCTGACCTCAGACTACAACGTCAGAAGCTTAGCTGGACCCCTGCGTTTGCAAGACTTCCTGGTAAAAATACAGAAAAAAAGATGAGTGGTAATGAACATTCTGAGACTGACAAACTCAGTGGAAAGATGTTGCATTCAGTCTGTAGCATTGATATTCAGCCAAATAAGTAAACATGGGTATTTCCTGAAGTGGCCTATATTGAGCTGTTAAAAACATAAGAAGTGGAAACATTGCCTTAGTCTTTCCAGATTATATACACTGGTTGTTAGTAAAGCTTAAAGGGTTTTTCAGCAACACATGTAAACAGGATTTTTTTTTAGTCCAGATCATTCCTTCCTTACAGCAAATTTATAAGAAGGCACTCAAGTTTTTTTTAATTAGACCACAAAATGTCTTCTTCCTCCTTTAAACCTTGTTTAATCTGGATGTGTACTGTAATCATTTTAATGGCTAACAGTTTTGACATTACTTATGAGAGGTCACAAGGAGAGGGGGTATGGTTTGAACAAACATCTATAAAGGTGTTAAAAAGTTGAAAAATATGTTTCTTTGTCTGGTTCGCTCTAGTATTTTTAAATCTTCTAATTAATTATCTTCACTTTGTTGCTTTTGTTGACAACATACAGCAAACTACAATAATCCATATATCTTCTATATCTATTTCTTTTCATATAGTACTTTTATTCTGTATTTCAGAAGTAAATACTTCAAAATCATAAGTAGACTTGGGGAAACTTTTGCCAAATGTTTGTTTTGTAGTGTAATATTCTGTTTCTTCTTGTTCTTAACAAAGATGAAATAGCTGTCACACACTTTCCATTTTAACATAGTGGAGTTCAGAATCTGTTTTTTTTCTTAACTCACTTTTGGAAAAGGTTTGAAAGATATATGGAAAATGCTTGACAACTTACAGTTCTGTCATGTTTATACAAGGTAGCAAACCAATATTCTTCTACAGAATTGCCCATTTCATGCATTTGGTATGTGTGTATTCACATGATTGAAGATGAACAAAGTGGTCCTGATGTTGAAACATGAGCCTGGCCTAGGTATTTTCATTATTTGTTTTTTTCTTCCTGTTGTTGTGTTGTTTGAGCACTTTGTCCTTGGCCACCATTTACCATAAAAGATGGTGATTAAACATATTGGTCCTTTTTTCTGTGAGTCAGACTGCTCACTCAGTTGCATATTACAAAGCAGAATTATGCTCTGTTCAGATATTTTAACATTCTGGACCTAGAAACACAGTGTATTTAAAAAATTGAACAGACATTAAATGTTTACAGTTTAAGAAAAACATAGCATTTTATAAATTTGTCCCTTCAGCATCTCCCAGGGTTTGGAAATCATGTGTTTTGCAAGCAGTCTCTCTTTGAAGCAAAAGCTACTTTTGTGAAAGTGACTGATTAATAATAAAATCATGCTTGGAGCAGAATATTGAAAACGCGATAATTTATTATTGGGTTTAAGGTGTGTAAAGAGTGTGTTTTTTGAAAGATTTCAGGTATCTAGGAATTATTTGAATTTACAGACCAAATTGGCTATTAGCAATAATGAAAATTAGTTCTAGAATTGTTTTGCAGAACTGTACTCTGTATGCTGGAAATTAAAAAAAATAACATTTTGGTTGTCATGATCCTAACTTTTTTTCTGTTTGAGGGTTGAACATCAGAGGACTTTTTCAGTAGACCAGACACCGTGAGGCTCAGGCAGCTGAAAATAATTATTTATTTATAGGAATCTGTGACTACAACTTCCCACCATCGTCACTGATGTTTCATTAACTGTCTGTGCAAATCTGGCATTATTGAACCAGTCGTCAGAAGTACACAACAAAACATATTTCCCAAAAGTATGCATTAGCAGAAGGTTATTTAGCTTTCTGAATCATTACATCTGCCATCTGCATTTTTTTGGCAATTGTTTCTAAACAAATAAGATTTAATCATTTTTACACAGATGGCTTGATGTAGGACAAGTCGGTGTGAAGAATGATGTATATTACATTGTATTGTTTTAGACTTTTCGTTTTGAAAGATTGCAAGGATGGATTTTCTGAGTATTATCACTTAGATTCTGCCCTGTACCTTAAACATACTGAAACCTCAGCTGTTACTGAAGTTAAACATTCAAACCCGTTTTTATGCTCTTATCCTGGCTTTCTGATAACTTTTGAAGTTGATCTGTAGTAGGAAGTAGCTAAACCTTTCTTTCTCAAAATACCCTTTTTCTTATTAATTTCTAAACTTTAAATGTTAAAGCCAAGAACTTCAAAGAAGAAAGATTTATCAGTTCCAGTGCAATGCCAAGTAGTATCTGTTCATAACATAATAATGTTCAAAGATACCCTTGGTTTTCATTTATAAAATACAGAACCAGCAAAAGGTTGGGATCATCATAGTACCACTTTTAAAACACTGTATTGTTATTGACTTTTACAGTTGTTGCATTTTATCTGAACTTTACTTTAAGGTGTGCTGTTTTGAAAGAAAGTTGCCAAACCTTTCCATTTAAAGGATTGTTACAAAAATATTGTTTTCCTGGAATTATGCTTCCATAATTTTGTTTGTTTATTCTGAAAGGCTTGGTTGCATATGGGCTGTTAATGTTAAGTGTTGTTTTTCTTTTACATTCTCCTGAATTTGTTTGCAAATAGGAGACAGTTTAAGCATTAAAGATGTAAGTTGATTAATAAAGGATTAAATATGTAAGAGGTGAACAGTACTGTAGATGCTTGACATCAGCTTGTGCTAAATAAACCAGTTTTATAAATTATTGAAGCAGTCTTGCAGCTGTTCTAAACAGAGTGTTGTGCAACCATTGTTATGGTGGCCACAAAATACCCGGTGATTAGAGCATAGTCTGCCTTGTAAATGGCCTGTTTCTGTTTGTACGGTGATTTGAAACCCACTTCCAGGTAATAAGCCTTAGTTCCGATAAGATGGACTGGAAAATTGCAATGTTGGTTTACAGTCAGGCTGAAACAATATGCATGTCGCAGAGTCTTAGCCAACTAATGTGGCTGGAGGGTGGTTTCCCAAAAAATAGAAAAATAAAAGAAAGATGAGAAGAGGGCGTGATTACTTCAGCCTCAGATTGCACATCAAAGGAAAAAGTGCTCTAAAATTAGTTAATTAAATGAAGGTTCTCTTTAGTGAGATTCCCTATAAATCTATCAGATAAAAGTTCATGGCTTTCTAGCTCTGTTAAACTACATAGAGTTCATCACTCTAATGGCAAAATACTGGCCAAGCAATTTTATTGGGACAGATTTCTTTTTACAGTAAAGACAGTAATCACCTCTGTGATTATACTTCTACACAATACACTTGAGAAACTGTATTTTTCCCAATGTGATTACATTTCTTTTTGGAATTACTGTTAAGTTATTAAGGCAGAATGTAAGAATGATAAAAAATATACCCGCACTGATTGTGTTTACTGAATTTCTGTATTGCCGTGGAGTTTGCAAGAACTTTACAACATGAGAAATAAAAGGGTCAGTTTGTTCAATTTGTACTTCTTGCAGTTTAAGTTCTGCATTGCCTAGTAGAAGCATGTCTTGACTTGTGAATATTAAACTTGGTGTCTCAAGAATGCCAAGAGATGCATAGTTTTTAATTCTGAAGAAAATCACATTTTCAGCCTGTGCTTCTAATGTCCTACCATGTGTATCTATTGTAAAACAATTATAAATGGTTAGTTTTGCATTTAAAGGTAAAAAGGGTATCATCCAGCATAAAGAATAGTTTTTTTAAAAAGCAGAAACATTTGCTAAGGTGTTGCAGTGATAAGTCTTATCTAGACAGTTTTATGTTTAACCAAGGCTTATGGCACATACAGTGTAACATTGCTTTTCTGTGACAGTTTTGGGTACTGCTGAGTCCCAAGCTGCTGTATGAATGCTAACTGTTACTGTTCGCACTACAAATGGGAATACTGCATATCAGAAAAAAAATGTTTATTTTAGAAAGAAAGTGGTTTTGAAGTTTTCTTAATTAAAAAGGGACTGGAAATTCTATAAAGAGCTTTTGTCTTTTTTTGCTGATTGTATTTGGGGGGGGGCATATTCTGTCATTCTAATGACAAACCTGTTCCTCATATTTCAAAAGTCATTTTATATTACACAGGCTGAAGATACAAATACTACTTTCCCTTCATGAGGCATCTTGCAGCCAAGCCTGACTACTTCATAAAGCCTTGACAAAACTCCTCCCTCACATGGTGTACACCTGGTATTATTTTAATTTGTTGTCTGAGGAACAACAAAACTCTCCCTTCTTCCCTGCAGTGCCTTCTAATTTACACAAAGCCATTGAGTCCCCGCCAGAGACCAAACCTGTTATTAGACAAGGCTCCAAATTGCAAGTTGCAGTTGCAAGGACCTCTGATGTATTGTGATCAGTCATGGGTAAAGATGACTAATACTGCTCTGCTGGTCACCTACTTCCCACCACACCTTTTTCTCTCTTTCTCATTGCTCTATTTAACCGGAATAATGATCATTGATACCCCCTTCTTCCTTTGACAAGACAGCTGGAAATTGTTACATAGTGGTAATTTTTGCTAATAGTGCAGATTATCAGTTTCACTACCTGGGGATGAGAGGCTGACAGGGCTTAATTGTTTGGCTCCTCTATGGCTGCAAAAGGGCAAGACTGTAATTTGTTATACAGTGCTATAACATCCCCCCAAATAAGGAATAAAAGGAATAAGTTGTTCTGCTATAATCATTTGCTGGTTTGTGAGGTTGTCCAAAATGAAATAGCTGGGCTTTTCATCACAGTACAACCACAGTACCAGAAAATAAATATTGATTTCATATTTGTCATATCCCAAGATTTCAAAGACAATGCACCCTCTGGCAACGTATTTTGAACAGGTGGTTGGTCTGTGGTCTTGGTACACCACAAAGGGATGTGGCTGATCTTACAGCCTTAAACATCATCTTCCTAATTACTCTTTGACTTTTAAGCAATGCTTTTGTGTTAAAAGACAAGGCGTATGGGGTGAATTTCTGAAGAAGAACCCACACCAGAAAGCTACCTTATGTTATATAATTTTGATTTTTTTCACATTGTATAATCTGTTAAGGGATCATCATTTCTTTTTTTAGTTGTGCTATTATTTATTATATTGTTTTCTACAACAACAGTTGTTAAAAAAGGCAAAAAATATATATAATTGGATAAGAAGACCTCAGCTGCTCACTTGATCTGAACAAAATAATATTCTTAAAATGGATAAGTTACTTCTCCATTTCTTTATGTAATATATTTGCTTTGCCACCTTCTGTATCTTAATTTCTATTTTTTTATTTATTACTATATTTTTACTTAATTTATATATTGAGAATGTATTCTTGTCTTGACAAGAATATGTCTTGACTTGGTCATTAAATATACTATGACACTTTTTAAAAAAGTAGGAGCATTACCACAGTGTCAAGGTAAATTTCTACTATGGGATTACTTGATGTAGCCTGCGAAAGAAAGTTCTTTCTGAATTAAATTGGTAAAGACGTATCTCACCTCATTACTTGATCGGATGTGTTGTGAACCACTGGTACATACTGTAATAGCTGCCTAGTCACATAGGTGTGGGTTACACTTCATTGGTGAAGGAAGTGAGTCGCTTCCTATATATAACACCTATCAGGATGGATCCGTTAGGATGAAAAGCATGGTAAAATGAGTCATGTGATGTTCTTTCCCCGAATGCATGAATGGCAGTAACTGAAGAAATGCGAAAAACGATCTTGACTACAGTAAATACATGGACAGGATACATCAACAAGCCTGTAATACAGGCACACAAAATCTGGAATAAAGTTAATGTTTGTCTCCTGTTGAATTTTTCTAAATCACTTTGTTATCAGACTGATGAAAAATTATGAAAGCATGTTCAACTAATCATATGTTATGAATTGTAGTCCTGCAGCTAAAGGACTACTCAAGAATATATGAAAGGTTACAAATAAGAGGAAGCAATTCAGACCATCTAATTTTCTTGCCAGCAGCTGGTTGATCTGAGGATCTGAAATAAGCCAGGATATCGGCGTCAACATCATTGCTTTGGTAGATTGTTCCAGACTCCCACAACTGTGAGTGTAAAACAGTGCCTCCTGTTCTGTTTTAAAAGCACTTTGCTATTTCCCCATTTCCTCTCGTTCATGTTTTCTAAGTTGGGAAATGTCTCTGGATTCATTATGAAGCAGCAATATATTTTTATAATGTGCTAATCACTCTTCTAAATGAGATCTAAGTAGTGCATTTCCCAGTTTTAACACAAAATCTCTTGGTTTAAATTCTGTCCTTTTAAGTATATACCCAGTATTGTTTACTTCTTGTTGCTTCCCCACAATGCATGGAAGATGCATTCGAAGAATCATTAGCATCATATAAATGTCTTTCCTGTTAGCTTCTTCAGTGCTTCCCATTTATTATGTAGTTTGTTTTTTTTTTGCCACCTGCATGTTATACTCTACACTTGTGTACATTAAACATTAAGTCTGTTTGAATTTATTTCCGTTTCTACAGTGTTTTTTTAAAGTTCTTCTTATTTTTGTATCATCTGTTAGACTGTAGATCATTAATGTTAATTCATGAGATCAGTGGTCCTAATGTAGGGGTTTAATGTAATAGTGGTAATACACTTATTATAAGGTCTCACTTTGAGCATTTAACCCTTATCTGTACTCTCGGTGTTCTACCCATCTACAAATTTTTAATTACATAAATATATAACCTGATTTCCTGTGATCTGCAAGAAGGTCATTTAAGAGTTAAAGAATTTAAATCTTTAATGAGTTACTGTATCAACAGTCTTCTGAAAGTATACTACAGGTAATAGAGGTAAGACTTATTGGTTTAAAATTACGTTCTTCAGTTTTATCACCATTTTTATGGATGGGTGCTACATTAGCAATTTTACAGTCAGTTGATATTACCCCAGTCTTGAGTGCTGAAGGAGTTGTTTTTTAATGGTCTAGTTCTTGTTTCCTTAAGGAAACTGGTAGAATACTATTGGGTTTTGCAGATATATTTTAAGCACAAAAGAGCATATCGTCTACTAAATTTCATTCATTATGAGACATTCGAAAATTACCAAGTGATGAAAATACTCCAGGGAGTCAGTGTCATCATATTAGGTGTGTTCTGCACTATTACTAGTTTCCCCCCTCACGTTTACAATTAGTGTTGTAAAATGATGACCCCGTTGGCAACTATTAACTAGTTAATTTCCTGTCTCAGCCAGTTGACTCCGATTTGAAGCCACTGTGCTTCCTTTTTTAGTTAAAATTGCTAAATTATTAAAATTAATGATTGTAGATTTTTTTTCCAGTGTTGTGTAGTTGGAAAAGGTAGTGATATGATTTTGAAGTGACAAAAACTGTTTACTCAGGCATTTACAGAAAGGAACAAAGGGAAAGTAACAAATGTGTTATGTAAACAGGTATTTGATCCTGCTGTTTGTGTTTGTTTTTGTCCTTTTTTTTGCTTTTGTTAACAAAGAGCACCACTGGAGGGAAAAATCTAAATTTCATTCTTACTAAGCCAACCTCCTGCTTAGATAGTATTGTTTGGTCTGATCTTTCCATTTCAAACCGTAAAGAATTATTGCCTTAGGGATACAGAAGTTTTGGGCGAAGCATGTCCTGATTTGGTGTTTTTAGCCTTGCCTCTGTGCTGCTGTTGGGTTACGTGGCCTAAAGGCAAGCCTCTCCTACTGTGATTGGGATCTTTTCCACCTCGTAAGTGTAGTGGTGAACAATGAAGACCCCCCACTAGACATTTTACATAAGGAATTAAATTAAACCTCTTCTGTTCCCAAGCAGAGTAAATAACCTTCTTAACAATTAGCCTGTCCCGGAAAAAAAGTATAATTGAGATTTTAACAAATAGTTGACTGTTTTTGGAAAGATTCTGAGAGCCAATTTAAACTGGTCTCTTTTGATACCAAAAGATTCAAAAACGAAAGCTGTGTGATGTGGCTGAGTTTTGCATTGGCCCGCCCTTCATTGTGGAAAGCAGTGTAAAACTGTGTGAAATCACTCCTGGTCCTGGGTGGCTGCAGTCCACCAGGTTTTGTTTTAAAACATACAACCCTCACTGTGTCAAGGCATGATAACATGTAAATATCAACTAGCCAGATTTGCAGGGTGAAATGAAAAACAAGATATGCCAGGCCTCCAGGAGTAGGACTGACTATTAGTGGTGGATGTGCTGATGATAATACACTATCCTTCAGTTAACCAAGAGTTTCAGACTTCAGGAATTAAATGGGAGTTACTGAGCACTTTGGGTTTTTTTCAATCTGGGACATACTTTTTTTTCTTATTTTGTGCAATATTAAACATTCAGGCTAATATACAGTATGTTGTATTAGTACTATACTTCAAAAGTAATTAGTACGTAGAAACTAGTATGTTTTTGACAAACATGACCCAGCCCGGGTGAAGTCATGAATTAAGATGTTATTTTGAAAATTACTTCAGGAAATAAGCATTAAAGCATATTTCATTTAAAGCATATATTTTCTAATGTGTTTTTTTAAGATTTTTTTTTACAAACAGAACATCTCAGATTTGGTCTTACTCTAACCTTTAATTAGAATTACAGCCCTGCATGCAATATTGTAAATGAAAGACGGCAAAGGAGTGATCTGGCCAATGTATGATTTTAATAACAGAGAAAAAACATCTATGAAACTAAACGGCTATAGAAAGCTGTTTGCTGTAGAATATTTCCTTATTAATATTTTATTTTATATGTGGAATACATCTGTACTATTTTAATTGGAAGTAGGGACATTTTAACTAACAGAGGTTTCACATAATAATTCACATTTAGAAAATCAACATGGAGCATGAAATTAAGTGGCATGTTTGTAGGAAGTGTGAGAAGGCCAAGAATATTTAATAGTTAAAAAGATACTTTATTTGTGGGTCAAAACGCTGCGCTTTCATAAAACATTCTTCATTTCTGATACCTCCATGACATTCATTATTTTTCCA